ACTATAGCATTTTCTTATCTCCATAAATGACCACAGATAGTTTTATCACTGTATATAATTTTATTACGTGATTTATATGGACCGTTCCAGGTTTTAATGATTATTCCACGGCACTTTTCCCTTGTTAGACAGTGTAAAGTGAGAATAATGGCAAGATGAATCTACAGTCCACTGTTAAACGTGGTTATTGTTACTTCAGTTGGATTTTTGAGCCTCACTGTGCAGAATGATGTTTGTGCACAGTTCATTCATCTGGACCCGTTTAACACATGTACACATCAACATGATTTTGAATATGATTTCTTTGGCTGTCTGGGAGGAACTTTCCAACTCCACACACAGTTACCCTGGCATCCTGGAAATTGTGTTCATCAAACCTCTCTGTCGTCCCTACCTCCAGTCCAGGACTCGTGCATAGCGCACTTCTGCTTGAACTTCTCAGCCAGGTGATCGAGTCTCTCCAGGCGGCGGATCTCTGTCAGCAGCCACTCCTCGTAGCCTTTCTCCACCTGCTCCAGACCCTTCCAGGCATTGGCAATATCCTGCAGGAGAGAAGGGCTTTATCATTACTGTAAGTTGAGAACAGGAGTTTTTACTCAGTTATGTGACACCTGTTTGAGTGTTCAGAATGTGAATAATGAAATGTCTGCCTTGAGAAGACATATCCATATCCATGTACATTTCTGAGAAATTCGAAATGAATGCAGCTTCTATTTGCATCAGCCGACTTAAAAGTGAGCTATCAAAGCCAGCTCTGCATATTCTCTTTCTTTCAGCTGAAACTTGCATCAGCTGCTTGTACATTTATTTCTATTCTATTTGATTTAAACTAAATTGCTTAGTCTTATTTTGGTTGGATCAAAAAAGTTGGAGGTTGAAAAAGATTTTACAAGCTTTAAGGGATGGAAAACAACATAGGGAGGAGAAATCCTTCAACTGAGGTCAAAGCCTAAAACTGCTCACCGACACCATCTTGCCCTCGGAGGGCATGAAGGCGGGCCTGTTGCTGAGCCTCAGCTTGGTCTGCAGGGTGTTGAAGTTGATCTCCAACTGGCATTTTTCCTGCACGCGGGGCGGCTTGTGGATGCGGCGGTAGTCGCGGAAGTCCTCCAGCTTCTGCTGCATGGCGCGCATGGTCTGCTCCGCCACGCGGTTCTCCAGCCAGGGGATGGTGCGGCGGATCCACTCCAGCAGCTACAGGAGGAAGGGAAATGTTAACAATATCCAAAAGGTTTGGTTTATTCTTGCCTGTGTTATTAAGTTTTTTATCCTGTATATTCTCATTTTCTTTACACCCTATTGTCCTGTAACGGCACCACTTTGCCTTAAAACTAATAGAAATACTTCAGAGCTCTGTCGTGTGTACGTCTTCAGCACAAAATGTTTGGATTTGGGTTAATTTACGTCTCAGGTGGTTCATTTTATCTGTCTCTTTGTTTCTTTACCATTCCTCAACAAAAAAAGTATGTACACTTGGTCTATCTCAGTTGCTGTCAACTGTCTCTTAATGTCTCTTAACTCCACAAAGACTAATGTTTCTAATATCTTTGTAATCATTACCTGAACACACAATTCTATGGCTGTCGAACCTTGTGATGGCCATGTGTTATTATTTTTGACATTTTATTGTTAACAGTAAAAATCAATTAGTTAAAACAATTCTTAACATAATAATTAATTTTCAGTAATAATCTATAATGGAAATGATCAGTCTCTGCAACACTTTTTTGCTGAGCTGCTTCTTGGCTTTAATCTTGGCTTCAATATTTTCCCATCAGGACGTCTGCAGGATTTTAGGAGAACGCACTTTGAATTGCATTGTTGTTGACCTGTACCTTTTTTACCTTTTTTTTACAGTATTATAATTAATAGCAAATAATTTTAAAATTATTATAACAGGTTATAAACATTGATAATCTGTGCACACAATGTATTTGTCTATATTGTCATATTTTTGGTATACTGTAAATGAATATTGTTCTCCACTGCTGCTCTAAAGTTTCTGTGACTGTAACTCTTTTGGTCCTTCACTTCATCTTCACACTATTGATTTGCCTGCAGCGATTTTAGGGCCGTGTCATGTGAAGTCAGTAGGAGGATCAGAAAGTTAAGAGAGAAGCACTGGGTTTAAACTGATGAAACATTAAAGTGTTGTTGCAGAGGAGGATGTGCAGGACAGACTGAGAGTGGGAGTTGTTTGGTTGCAGCGGTTTTCTCACCTCACTGGCCAGCTTCTCGTACTCCTCCATCAGTTTCTCATTCTCCTGGTTGACGGCCAGCACCTTGCAGATACGGTTGGCAGCTGTCTCAGCCTGAGATAGGGAGGGAGTAATGTAAATTCATTTACATTTACGAAGTGTCATAACAGCTACCATTAACACATCGCTCACATTTACTCATTAGGATTGTCGTAACATCACGTCCATGGTGTTTCATGTTTTATAATAACATTTCAACACACACTGTAAGGAACAAAGCAACTGGGTCTAAAGACAAGAGAAGAAAAATATCATCTGACCTGCTCAGCGCCAGCGAAGGCGTGGTAGAAGCAGGACACATAGGTCATGATGGCCTTCTCATCAGGTTTGGGTGTGTTCACAATATCTGGGGGGGGGGGGGGGGGTAATCAAAGATATAATAATAAAATATTACGGTGTATGAATAATCATCCCTAGTGAGAGTCAAATTATTATTATGCCTTATGTGTCATTTATTGTGTCACCATAATGTTTTGTAAAGCCGCTTTGTTAGTTTGGATTTTAAAAAGTATCATAAACAACATTACTGATAATATGTACCTATTCTTTTTTCAATGTAATATGCGATGTTCCTAATTTAGAAAGAAAACTGCGAGCATAACATCAGCCATTTTGCCTACAAAAACATTCCCTGAGGTCAGAACCATTAGTACTTCAATAGATGCTAGTGATTTAAAACGCATTCATTTTCTAACACAAATTGTGGGAGTTTAAGTAAGAAGGTCCTCTCGTCCTTGTTCCATCTGTCACCATGTACTGTACTTTGCTGCAGTGGAGGTGAGCAGCGTGCGTCAGCAGAGGTTTCTGTTTCATTTGTTTCATTGCCGCACCTTCAGCGTCAAGCATCTTGGGGATGTCCAGGAACTTCTCAGCCACCTCGAAGGCAGTGTTCAGATTGCCAATGGGGTCATCCTAAAAGGAGACACAGTTACTGTGAGACACGCACGTGTAGGACCGCACTGGGTTTGTCATGAAACCACGTTATGGTACCAATTAGACAAGGATTGTCATTACAGCCAGTGTCATGATCCACATTGAGAGGAAGGAAACAGATATGAGGTTCATACACTATTAAAATCTATTTTATAACATTTTATAACAATGTTGTTTTTGATCAAGCACCTGTCAAAAACATTTCCTCTTGTGAAAAGAAACGCAGCTCTGGATTAAAGATTAAATACTTTTTTGTAAATGGTCAAACTGAAATATTTAGAAATAAAATCAGACCTCTATAATTCAAAACTGGTATTGACACGTACTTTTAATATCCCATGCAAATAGGAGCCACTGGCTTACGTATAAAGGTTGTGAATTTGGACATGCAGGATACAAAATCTTCAGTACCACATCTACAAAAGATTTGATACTGCAGCGCTGTGTTTGCACTGGGTTATCACAGACTGGACTGTTCATAGAGTGTTTTCACAGACTGTCACATGAAATGCAAAGAGTACTGAAATGAAAAGATCTATAAACAGATTCAAGGAGACTGATAGTGGTGCTGGGTATCGATCATCAGTGCGAAGAGAAAAAAAATACAGCAAATAAGAAGAGTAAGAAAGGTGAAAAAAAGGAAGGGAGGACAGGGCACCTTTCTCAGTTTGGAGTAGTCAATGAGGTCAGGTCTGTGTCTGTGGATGAGGGCGCACAGAGCCAGGCCATCCTTCCAACTGAGGAAGAGGAGGAAAAGGAGAAGAGAGACCAAATGAATGAAAGTGGGAGAAATGCCAGAGTGGGAAGATTCATGAGACAAAAGGAGGATTGGCATGGAAAAAGAGGGATAGAGGGCAGGTAACAAAACAGGAAGAAGAAGATAGAGAAGGAGGATTTTATATAGAAACACAAACGCTAGGAGGAAAGCATGGTATAACGTTTACATTTAATAAGAGAAGGTTGCAGTTTCCTGTTAATGCCACAGTTCGGCGTTGTAGACCCACCTGATGTGGAAGTTCTGCACGTTGACGTTCCTGTAGGGGGCAGTCTTCCTCTGGCACCACAGCAGCAGACCCTCCTTAGCAGAGGTCTCTGGAAGAAGTAAGGGAGGGAGATGGTGAGCATTGTAGCACAGATGAAAGACATTATTTTATTCAAGCATGATTATTAGAAAAGAAGTGAATACAGGATCTTTTCAGAAAAATGGACTCCTAATAATGGAAGCCTAAAAGAGGCGCTAAATGGTTAGGATAAGAGGATGAAAAGGGGATGATTGTTTTGTCTGTACTGGATATATAAGAGGCTTTATTAGAGGTTGGAAAGAGGTCGATGGCAAAGGTAGTCAAGCTATATAACAGCAGCAAGATATTGAAGAGCAAGAGCAATAAAAGGAGCATTAAAGAAGATGACTTGAAGGTGAGGGTCATCAGAGGTGTGAGTACGGACAGGATGAACAAGGTCCAAGTCTTTATAAACAAGAATTTATTACGAGTTGATCTGTCGAACAACATGAAGGTTGAATAAAATGACAAGAGGTGCAGATAAAGTTCAGGGAAGTAAGGTGCTGGAGGGACTGAATCACTGAATCTGATTTACTGCACGCAACAAATCACACGGTGCAGTAATCATTAGTAAAATCTGAGTGGACCTGGAGCTTGCTGACCTGACTGTTCACACGTGTGACTGATGAGTGAAACTTGTAAATAAGCAAAGTGTGTTTAGTTTAAATGTGAATAATATGTGATGTTCGTGCTTTTCGCTCCTGAAGTGACATTTCTTGACTTTTATGCAACTTCAAGACAGTTTTCGGTGTGTGTTTGTAAAACATCCATTGAAAATCTGATTTTGTTCCACTTTATCAGTGTGTGAGATTGTAAAGCAAAGACATATTTAAAATTGGATCTGTATGCTGTGGGCACTATGGTGATTACAGTCAGAATGCGTGCTCTCTTCTCATCATTGAAAGTATTACTGTGACAGTTGAGCATTAAATTTGCTTATGCGCTCTCTTGCTGAGAGCTGGATGAGGAGATTGATACCGCTCTCATATCTGTCCTAAATATGAAGCTACAATCGGGAGCCGGTGAGCTTAGCTTACAACACCTTTAACACAAAATAAACATGTTTCATTAAGTTGTTTTTAATGTTAAATGAATATACTTATTTTAAAAGGCAGTGTTAGTTTATGTAAACACACACACACACACCTTCCACAGAGATGTCCTGGATGGCGAAGCGCAGGATGATGGTCCAGATCATACCAAGGGTCATCTTCGCGTTCCCGTCAACAATTTCTAAACACACACACACACACACACACACACACACACACAGAGAAACATGTCACGGCAATAAGCAAAATATAAAAGACTAAAAGCAGGCCTCTCAGTCATGATTCTCTACTAAGTTGGAAGTCCTGTATAAGTTTGATCGTATGTCTTTTGAAGCTTTCGCTGTTGAGACTAATTAAATTACACGCGGCCTGAAGGCGCAAATAGAATCTTTACTGCAATTAGACTGAGGAAAATTAAAGTCACACAGAAATTCACTCACTGCTTTTGAAGTGCTGATGTGAATATTGCACGAGTGAACCTCTCAGCGTGTTTTCATGAACTCTCAATCTGAGCAGTTTTTACCCCGCTGAGCTTTTAGTCAGTTTAACCTCCGAGAGGCAAGCAGATTTAGAGGCCTAACAGACTAAATCTGAGCATTAAAATATCATTTAAAAAGTCCAAGTGGAGCATTTTCACTGTTCAAACCATACTCCAGCTCAGCTCTTGTTGTTTTTCCTTTAATTATTTGTTTTAATCAGTTCTCACGCTACAGTGTCTCTCTTCTATCATTTGTAAACCCAATTTGCGGCTATTTTCCAGTAATTTTCTTTAATCAAATGTTTTAAATGATTACCATTAAAAACATTTCAGCCTTTTTTTATCATTTGAATTATATATCTAACAACACATTCCAGTCAACAAAATGTCAGAAAAAGTGCTTTTATACAACGATTTGATCCAGCTTCAAATATAAATGGCCACTTAAGGTAATTACAAGAATAAATTAAAACACTTGTGTATTGCGGCTAATTCCTCATGTTTGTTGCCAACTGGGTGATCTGTAGTTTACTTTCCTGTTACTGCCAACTCATCTGAATTCTCCTGACGCTCTGAACTTCCCCAGCCATCTGGTGCTCAAAAATAGGTCCAAGAAATGCAAATACTATGTGACCTTGGTATGTTAATTAAAAGAGGTGAAAATAGGTATCAGCAGGAGGAAAAAATAATAGAAGGGAAGTTGTTAGTCAGAGCAGGACTCTCACCCTCAGCACCAATAGACACCAGTTTGACCCCCTTGCTGCAGATGAAGTCAAGAGCTTTGTTCACGTTGGCGATCTTGTGGAAACGCATCTTGCCTTTGTCGGGTTTGGGCAGCCTCTCGCCTGAAAGACAGAAAAAATAATGATAAGAGATTCATTCTTTTTTTTTTTTAAATACATCATGATTTTATATCTGAATCTCTTTGCTTCTTTCAGGTTTTTCAGCACATCTATGAGTATAGTTTAAGCTCAGGCTAACAACAAACAACCTCGGACATTATTCCTGTGGGTGAAATAACTGTCAGTTTGTGTATATTCACCTTCATTTTCAGTCCTAATAGGTGTTTTTTCAATAACTTCATTAAAATGGACTTTTTATCGCCTGTGTTGGTTAGTGGTGTCACCTTATCACTGTATCCGTTTATGAAATGATACTAATGAGTCAAAGTTACCATGGATGAGAAGACTTATGGCTGATAAAAGATGAATGTGATGGATGAATAAAATCATGAAAAAAGACAGGTGAAAAAAAACCCTGATAATTTCCACTCTCATTACATCTCCAGCATTTGAGAGATCGAGTTATTAAATCTGAAATGATCGTTTAAGAGTCTCAACTGATGAAAACGTGTCTCTTCTCTACAAACAAAAAACAGAAAGTATCAAAAATCAGATCTTTTACAATCTTGAAGCGTTTCCAAACTGCATTATAACTTGGATAAATACAGTATATCGTGTGTGTGTGTTGATGAGATCCACCTGATATGACCTCCAGCAGCAGCATAAGTTTGAGGCCATTTCTGAAATCTTCTTCAATGTTCTCAATCTGTGTCCCGGCCTTCCTCAAGTGGGAGTTACACCAAGCTGTGAAGGTCTGAAAGAGAGTGAGAGAAAGGATATAGAGGGTTACCTATCTGACTGTATCTGACAAATACATTCACAGACATGATACCAGTGTACATGTGTGGTATGTATATACAGTGAGGAAAATAGTAT